CTTTCTGGCAAACGCATAGCATAGATAAAACGGATGGAAGCAAGATTTTCGTATTTTAGCAATTTGTTCGTCTAGTCTCTAGTATTTAATTATTGTCTCAAGGACTCAAGACAATGAAGACTATAGATAAAGGTACCTAGTATTGTTTAAGTCARATAATAATAAAGCACAAAGCCAATGTAACTAACGAAAATATTATTCTTTATAACTTTTAAAATTCGTGATTTATTCAAAGGTGAAGTGCTCAACGATCGTAAGAAACCATTTTTTATTTGTTTTCCGAATGTGGTTTCACGTTTCACGCGTGTCTGAAAGACAAAATAAATATGAAACAAATATTCGCAGTCATCTTCTAAAAGATATTTTTCTCAATTTTTCCTKTATGTTATCATACTTTTTGGACATTAAATTGATAACTKTAAATTGAACTTAGTTTTGTTTCACGCGAAAACCACTCTTCTGGTCTTATCACACATTTTTAATCAATACCTACTTGAAAAACAAAACCACAGAAAGGTGATCGTGGCAAAATAATTTTGAAAAATGATAGTAGGTACAATAAAAAGTTTAAAGTGAAACTAATACGACGAGACATTTTGTACACCTGAGACTTATTTAGTCTTTGTTTTTTGTCAATGGATTTATATTCATACCTTTAATGTCCTAGATGGCTTCATGTAATAAATCATAATGTCTGTATAATAGTACGATATTACGATTCGCATTTTATATTTTTCCTCATAACATATAGTACCTATCCAAATCGATAGAGATAGAGAATTCATGAAATAATGTTTGACGAGAATACCTACAAACGGTGACAATTGATAGCCTCGAGTGTTCTTCCTTTTCGGGAAAGTGTGTTTACGAAGTGAATTTCAAATAATTTCATTTGTTTTCTATTAGATCATTCATATGAATAATAGTCTAAAAACTTTTAATTAGATAAACTCCATTAATGTCCAAAACCATAGTATTTAAAAAATRAAATAAATACCTCATTTAGTATGCATAATGAATAAAAATAAGTTAACCTCTATCACCTTTAAAAATGCCTAAAGACTGTTCTTAATTCTTATCAGAAAGCGTTTTTCGCTAATGCTCGGTTTGAAGTTTAAGACCTACAAATTCTATTGTTAGGTAATCTGTATGATAACTAAATTGACGGCATTAAATAATTACTCCACAATTACGTAAACACCGGTGTTTGTATAGACTAAACAATTTTTCGAGTTTGTACAAAATTTAGATTATTTTTCACAGACGAATRAATTCAATTCATTATTTATTTCCGTAGCGATTTATGGGAAGTGTATCCAACAGAAAAATCCGCCCAAACTTAGACTGTGGAAACGTTTTTTACGCATATTATATTATTATTATTATTATCATTTAATCTGTCTGCATTGTAAATCGTCTGTAGGCTGCAGTTGAAACTTAATATAAGAGTTGAGAATGTCACATTTTTCGATTTAATGAGTAGTTACTAGTTAGTAGATATTCATATGGAATAGATAGATTGAATTAATACATTAGTAAACGTATAAAAATATATAAAATGTATATAATTTATGTTATGTAATAACATAATAATATAATATCATATTAATTCTAAAATTATATTTGTCATAGGCGGTCTAGGCGGAAAATCTATAAGTGACTGTTGTTCGTTCAATGCAACAAATTACCATAATATGACACTTAACCAATCGTTTATTTTAAGTACCTACTCATTATGTTCTGTAGCACACAGAAAAAATAAAAGCACCAGACATTTTTAGTGTTTAACGAAAACGCAAATGTTAGAGATTGCCTAACTTTATTTCTGAGTTTGCTATTTAAAAAAATAAAAAGTTCAATATATTGAACTCAATACAAYATGGTCTTTTATGAACTGACTAATGAGTAATGATGCTACTTGCAGTAGGTATCTCTTAGTATTATTGTGGTTTATGTGATTAAAGCTACATTGTCTGAAACAGAGTCTCCRGAGTCTCGTGATCGTAACAATCTAAATTTCAATATTCTAATTCACATTTTTAGAAAATATTAGTTTGAAAATAAATTTTTGAGTTTACCCAAAAACAATTATAAAATACCATTTATTAAATATATAGCCATACTATGTCTTATCTACATAATATTATAAGTAAATTAAAAATTATAGCTGTACATAAATTCTGAATCAATTATTTGTATTATGTAAATTAGTAAATGCACATTTTACATGTAAATATGAAATACACTTAAAACTTATTACTTATAACATAGAGCACACCATTTTTA